TGAGGAACCATTTTGCTGCCAGCTTTCTCATTTCCAAGTCGTTGTGGATAATGGCACCAACTCTCTCACGGGATATTCTCAGATATATAGCAATACTTTTGGCTGATATTCAGCGGTCCTCCATGATCATATCATGGATGGCTTTCACATTTGCAGGCACAGAGACAGAAACAGGCTTCCACTGGGTTTCTCACTTTCAACACCAAAATGGCTACTTTAAAATTGACAACCCAATGTTTAACTGTTGCATATGAAGGGCCACTGTCACCCATAGTTTGGAACATTTCATCATGTATCTGCTTTGCACCTTTCCCTTGGATAAACAGGAAGCTGATTATGGTCCTGTGCTCTTCCACACTGAACTTTTCTGGAGGTGCCGCCATGTTCACTTTGGACCGGAAAAGTTAAGTTATAATCAGAGGTAGTTGATTTTTGCAATGTTGAATATAGACAAATTGGCCAATACACCCTGCAATTTATAGCTTCCTAGCTCAATTTTTTCTGAGTAAGTCTCAATACTTATCAGCACCGCCTCGTGGACAGTGCCTCACATGAACTGGTTGTGCTGTACAGAACTCCCTCCAGAATCTTCTAAAATTTAGAAGTACTGTATTATGGAACAAATAGATGTCGAAAGGAGTCACTAAACAGGAAATCTAAAGACTACTAACCTACAACTGAAGTCCTCAATGACTGGGAGGAGATGGTAAAATAGTGTAAAAATGACAGTTGTCACCACTATAAATTGTCTTAATATTCTGCTGAAGTAAGTTTTTTCAATTGTCATATTGCACCAAAAAGGTTCATAGTATATACTTTTTTAATATACAAAACAGCAAGTTTTTCCCTTTTGTTAGAATCAACAAAACAGATCCAAAAATAGATACAAGCTTTCACATCCCTTGATTTCAGCCTAAGCTTTTTAATTACACAGCTGGAAACCAAATCACATTGCAAAGGATATTCATATTCCATTTATTATATCAAACAATGTCCTTCCATTTATGTAAGAATGAAACAGAGGGATACCAAGCACAATGAAGTACTGCCCTGCAGGAATCCTTAGTCAACCTTAATTACAACCTGTATGAGAAGTAAGTTCAATTCATCCCTTTTTTTCACATCTACAAAAAAACCAATCTTTGTTTAAGTTGATGCCTCTTGTCTATTAAACTGTGAACATGACAGGAACAATATGTAATGTGATCTCACCAGAATAGCACGAAACACAGTAGAGCCAATTCCTTCAGCTACTTCATATTCCCCTTTTTCATTTGGCCGTGTGAAGTTATGTTCTCTTCCTGATCCAAACATCCTATATAAAAACAGAGTTTGACTAAAATTATTTTCAGATATAAATGGAACTCACATGCATATTAGTTAACTGAAACTTAAGAATGATTATAAACTCAGAACGATGGGTCAGTTATTCTTGTGTTATCCCTCATATTTTACAGATATTTTGCTCTCATTGCTACAAAAAACATAGAAGTACACAAAAGTGAATCAACCCCCCACTAATTATGAGTAGAAAGTCACTCTGACCTATAGTGTCTTTTGATCTATGATACAGATGAATACATCCTTCAGTTAAAACATTGCTTTCATATTAATGGACAACCATCAATAGCTTTGCTTTGCAGTAAACTCTGATTCCAACCAGTTGTACTCAACATGGTCAATGGTAAAGGACAGTGGGAGTCCAAAATATTCAGAGGACCAGAGGTTCCCAACATGTAACTTATGAAAACATTTCCATTTTTCAGCAACCTCCTTTAGATGAATGAAGCAGCTCCATGTAACAAACCATGTATGTCCCTAGCACCAGTAATGAATCAGTGCAGACAGACATGACTATAGGTAATTTCACATGAGTAAGAGTAAATCAGGAGACTGTTTATGTGGGAAACTTCTGCTTAAAGGCTGTAGCTGCAATCTGCTTTTGTGACGTGCGAACACTCCTGGCAGGAAGCGGCAGCTGCCAGCAGGTGGGGTAGCCACTTATTCTGCCCTTTTGGTTAGAGGTAGAGCATAAGATCAAAGGGTTATTTTAGCCAATCCTAGTTACGATTAGGTAACTAGCATCCTATCTGTTTCTCTCATAACATACTATGCAATCATGCTAAGTCAATAAAACAGCCCTCAGGGCGTTGCCTTTTGGCTCCGCTGGCTCGGACTTTCGCTATCGACTCCTTTGTTCTCTCTCTAAGACAATTAGCCTTCCTTTGTTCCGTGATCAGGAGCTTTACTTTTCTCCAAATAAACTAGGCCATGACTAGACTTCAAAAATCATCTAACATTCATTCATTCATTCATTCATTCATTCATTCATTCATTCATTCATTCATTCATTCATTCATTCATTCAATTTATACCCCACCTATCTGGTCACTACGACCACTGGTAGTAACGACCACATGTAACTGCATTTCATGAAAGAAAAAACAACACATGCTAACTATCTGAAACACAGCACTGAAATATCTGGTCAGAGTCAACAGAGACACCGAGATACAAAAGCAAAGTGTGCTTCTTATATATCACCCCACAGTGCTTTAAGCTCTCTCTGGGTAGTTTACAATTGTGCAGGCTACACATTCCCCCACCCCCAGTGAGCAGGGCACTCAATTTTACCAACCTCAGAAGGATGGAAAGCTGAGTCAAACTCAAGCCAGCTACCTAAACCTGCAATTGAACTCAGGTCGTGAGCAGAGCCTTCAGTGAAGTACGTATTGCAGTTTAGCCACTGCACCACAAGGCTCCTTATAAATATAAAACAAAATAAACAGATACCTGTAGCCATGATTAAGAAAACTCAATGGGGCTGAAAGTCTACAGTGGAACCTCTACTTAAGAACTTAATCCGTTTTGGAATGGTGTTCTTAAGTTGAAACATTCTTAAGTTGAAGCAAAATTTCCTATAAGAATGGACTGAAAACCAATTAATCCGTTCTGGCTGTTTTTTGTTATGTAGAGGTGCGTTCGTACATTGAAGCATTAGTTCCCATAGGAACTAATGCAAAGCTGGTTAATACGTACTCTACCGCTAGGGGGAGAATTTTTTTTTTTAACCTAAGATGACCTAAGGTTAAAAAAAGAGCAGGAAAGGTTTTTTTTCCTGTTCTTATCTTGGATTTCTGTTCTCAAGTAGAAGCAAAATTTAGCAAATGGAGCTGTTCTTAAGTTGGATTGTTCTTAAGTAGAGACGTTCTTAAGTAGAGACCCCACTGTACATCCTTATAGGCCCCTTCCAACTCAATTATTCTATGATTCTACAACTCTATGAGAATATTGAATTTTTAAAAAAGCAATGCCAACCTGCCCAACATTGTATTTGGCTGTGCAGTAAAAACAGAAGGATCAACAACAAATCGAGTGTTGTCCACTATAAGTGTAACTCTCTCAGAAGTTCTAACATTGCGAGTTCCCTCTTTTGCATTCTCATACACAAAAACCATTTCTCCAGAATTCTTGCAACTCCCATCCGAACTTGATAGGCTGCTGTTTCTACTGCCATTAGAACCATTTGGAGAGGTTTTCTGAGGACGAGGGCTGCTTGGTCGAGACAGGCTATGATCCTTCTCACGTTCTGCAGTGAAAAGCAATAAAACATTTCATAATGAAGTTTTAGTATCAGAATATATACCACAGCCCAGAAACACGCAATCCAGAAGAAACAGTTCTCATAGCAACTCAATATGCAAAATTGGCCATTTTATTAACTCAAGGAATCTCAGGTTTTTAATATAGTAGCAAGGACTCACTGTGTGACCTAATGGCTGCAAAGAAAAGAATTACAGAAGGAGAAAGTCTTCTGGACTTTTCTACTAATCTGTCCCTGGCTGCTGTTGTTACATCACATGCAGTGCTCTACTCTAACTGTCAGCAGAAAGTCCCACTGTGCACTCCTCTGTGGGCACCGCAAGTAAAAATATCAGTAGCTACTTCTGTAGTGTAAGGGAGTAACAGTGACTAAGCTGATAAACAGCAGTAGGCAATCCCGTTCCTTGCCGTTCAACTCACAACTAGATTACATAAACTAGCCTGGAACAATGCCAGCAGACAGATGGTAACAGACAACACTGCAAGAGCAATATGAGGAGGGATGTTTTTCTGGCAAGCTATGATCATCTCTACTCTTGGCAGAACCATTTAATGTCCTACCCTATTTCCCTGAAAATAAGACCTTACCTGAAAATAAGCCCTAGTATGATTTTTCAGGATACTTGTAATATAAGCCCTATCCCAAAATAAGCCAAAGTTAAGTGAAACACCACCCTCCATCACTGTGCAGCAATCAGAAGATGACATGACTGTAAAACAAAACATCCTCTGAAAATAAGCCCTAATGCATTTTTGGAGCAAAAATTAATTATAAGACCCTGTCTTATTTTTGTGGAAACATGGTAGGTGACATCCTAAGCATTCAGATATCCACAATATAGGGCAAAGGGGTTTAATTACTATCCCCATCTGTGTAAACTACCAACCGCTTTCCAAACTGGGCGAAATGGGGGCTCACTATATAATGAGCTCACTGTACATGTAGGACACAACAGCAAAGCTTCTCACAGCTGCTTCCAAACATGTTAGTTCTTACAGAAACCCAGATAAGTATGGAATGTAACCTAACTGCATCATATCCCAGAAAAGTTTTTGCAATGGCAGTTAATGTTTTGCAAGAGACACATACAATTTGACTTTAGCCTGCTACTCTCTTTAGCAAAGTAACCACTACAGGTCTATTCATCTGAACACAAAGCAGAAGATTACATTTATTTAATTTCTACTGGTTCAGTGAATCTGCTCTAACTAGGACTTACAAAAGGATAGAACTTATTTATGAAAAAGCATTTGTAATGCTACTAGAAAGCAGATTGTTGTTGCTCTGAAAACCATAGGACATTGATCTCTCGTCTAGGGGGAGGATTTCTACGACATGCCATTCCCCCCCCCCACAACCTATATTTGATTTTATGGGTGGGTTTGAACATGTTTATGAGCAATCTGGTGAGAAAGGCCAGATTACTCATACATATGTTTGAACTTGCTTACAGGTTCAAATGTAGGTTGCAGAGAAAATGTGAAATGTCATAGAAATCCTCTCCCTACTCATTACATACCTCCTTGGTGCTGTCTTGTTGGTGAAGTAACATTTCTGATACATGGAGTAAGCTGAGACTCTAGTCTTTCATGGGAAGAGTCACGTGATCTATCACTTGACCTACGTCTATCTCGTGATCTTTCATGACCACTGCTAGCACCGTGAAGGCTCATTTTGCTGTAATCTCCTTTAGCAACACGAGATGAAGCACTAGAAAGACAAACAAATATTTATGTTTAGGACAGGTTTTGGTATTAAAACTTAAATATATACATAGTAGTATTATTCAAGTATAAATGTTGATGTCAGAAAGACACAGTGATTGTAAGAACTCAAGTCTACATTAGCAGGAACATTATATTGCTATTCTTTTCATTAAAGTTTATAATGCCCTGGTTTTTCAGACAACGCTGCAGTACTCTTACAATCTCTTACAATTAGACACTGAAAACTAGAATGAATTTGCATAATGAATTCAGAACTGCCCTTGAAACTATTTTAATTCAAATTTCATCACTGGGAAATAAGAAATTAGAGATTAATAAACATTTGTAACTCTCCCACAACTTTTCTGTATTATGTTTGACAACCAAAATACTGCAGTACATTTGTATTTATATCTTTTCAATATATTTATATTTGAAAATATAAACATTCATTTAATTTCTCACACCAAGTAAAACTAAGGTTATCCACATCCAACATGAAAAAGACAGCTCCTAAAAAATGAAATGTTAATGATATGAAATATAAGTCATGTTTGTCTATGAAACGAAAGCTGGTCCTCGCTTATAGAGCTAACAATATAGCTTTGTTCGTGTAACACAACATGAAAGGCACCAGCAAAATGCCAAAATGCAATTCAATTTCTATACCTTTTCCCATGTACAAGTGCTGAAGGAAGTCAATACAGTGGTGCCTCAAATTACGAACTTAATCGGTTCCGGAACTCTGGTTGTAACTCGAAATGGTCGTAAGGTGAAGCACCATTTCCCATAGGAATGCATTGAAATGCAATTAATCAGTTCCGGCTGAAGGAAAAAAACACCCCCAAAACCAAAAAATACCACTGCAAGACCCATCAGAAACGCAATTAATCCATTCTGGCCGAAGGGGAGAAAAAACAGAAAAGCAAACAAACACTGCAAGACCCATCAGAAACGCAATTGATCCATTCTGGCCGAATTAAAAAAACACCCCAAAAGCAAACAAATCCTGCAAGACCCATTTGAAATACAAAAAAAAAAATCACCAAAAAGCAACAGAGAGGGCAAGACCCATTGGAAATGCAAACAAAAAAACCCAAAAAGCAAACAGAGAGTGCAAGACCCATCAGAAATAAAAAAAAAAGAAAAGAAAACCAAAAAGCAAACAGAGAGTGCAAGACCCATCGGAAATGCAGAAAAACCCAAAAAAACAAACCCTGCAAGACCCATCGGAAATGGGGAAAAACTAAAAAGAAGCAGCCTGTTCACCACCAATGGTTAGCAATTTGAATTCCCCACCTTTTTTCCCTGTCTTTTTTTGGTTGTAACTCGAAGCTTTGGTCACAAATAGAAGGAAAATCTTGTGGTCGGAGCTGGTCATAACTCAAAATGGTAATATGTCAGGACGTTCTTAAGTTGAGGCACCACTGTACAGCCTCCAGACAACAGCCTTGTGTCAGTTTCTGACTCCATTCTCACTTGAGTAACTGTTTCATCTATTGCTGATGTCACAATCTGTTCACCTTTTCCTGCTTATTTACATGGAGCCTTGGGATGATTTCAGGAAACATCACACACAGGAGCTATTACTTTTAAGTATTCATTCCTCTAATCTAATGCCTTCTTACACCAAAGTTACTGCCTTCTCTTTGAAATAAACTCATGGGGATTCAAAATCACATACATTTCCTTTTTGAAAATGTCAAAGGAAATTTAAAAAGGTGGCTAGAATGCTACCAGGGTAGACTGGAAGGACAGGGGGGTAGCAATTGTATATAAAAACACCCTTGAGGTTACTAGGCGCTCTGTGGTGATGAAGCCGGGTTTGGAGGCCGTCCATGTGTTGATAGGGGCCAGGGATGGTATTGGGATTTTGCTGGGTTACTGTGTTCCCGCGACCCAGCCATCTCCTTGCCAGAGCTGGTGTCTCCACAGCACTGTTGGAATCCCCGAGGCTTTTGGTCTTGGGTGATTTCAACATCCATGCGGAGGCCGAGACATCTGGTCCAGCTTTAGAGTTCTTGGAAACCATGGCTTCCTTGAACATGTCCCAACATGTTAACGGCCCCACCCATGTGGGAGGCCATATGCTAGACCTGGTTTTCTCCGCCAATTAGAGTGAGTGCGGTCAGATGGTGACTGACCTTGTGTCAGTGCCCTTGTCATGGTCCGATCACCACCTAATAAAATGTAACCTCTCAGTGGCCCTCCCACCTCGCAGGGAGCAAGGGCCTATTTTAATGGTCCGCCCTCAAAGGCTACTGAATCCTATAGGATTCCAGGATACCATGACAGGGATTCCGGCAAATCTGGCTGGCGCTCCTGTCGAGGCTCTGGTTGATGGCTGGTTCACAATCGCCACTAGGGCCTGCGTCCTGGTTTAATCAGGAACTACGAGCAAGGAAGCAAACTAGGAGAAGGCTAGAGTGCAAGTGGAGAAGGAAACCGATGGAATTTAATAGGGAAGCGGTCAGGGCCACAACTAACCTTTACATTGTCAAGATAAGGGCTGCTAGTCGAGCTCACCTTGCTGACCGGATAAGTGAGGCTTCAAATCAGCAGGCAGAACTTTTTCGTATGGTTCACGACCTATCCGGAATTGGTTTAAGTGATGGGCCTCCTGCTAGGTATCTCACCCAACCAATTTGCAGCATTTTTAAAATCAAAAGTGGAGGCCATCCACTGGGAGCTTTCTCCTTTTTTGGATACAGTGGATTGAGCAGAGATGTCCAGTGCTCCGCTTTGCCCGGTGAGTTTCGATCTCTTTCAGCCTGTGATGCCTGACACTGTGGACAAAGCGCTAGATCGCTGTCGGGCCACCACCTCATCTCTTGACCCTTGCCCGGCCTGGCTAATCAAAGCAGCCAGGCCTATAAAAATGGAATGGGCCAAAGCGATAATTAATGGGTCTCTCCTTGAGGGCAGGGGGAACTCAAGGAGACACTCATTAGGCCATTAGAAAGAAACCAAATTTGGCGGCAGACGATATTGGCAACTATAGGCCCGTCGCCAACGTGTCTTTCATTAGCAAAGTAGTCAAGAGGATGGTGGCCGATTAGCTTCAGGCTTATTTGGATGAAACAAATGCCCTGGATCCATTCCAGTCGGGCTTCAGGCCGCGCCATGGTACAGAAATGGCACTGGCCGCCCTGTTAGATGACCTATTGATGGAGGTCGACAGAGGAAAAATGTCTCTGCTGGTCCTCCTTGATATCTCAGCCGCCTTTGATACCGTCGACCACAGTATCCTCCTGAGGAGACTCTCCGAGTTGGTAATTGGTGGCCTGGTGTTTGCCTGGCTCTGTTCCTTCCTGGAGGACCGTACTTAGAGAGTTCAGCATGGGGAGGGGGACTCAGCCCCGTGGAGCCTCAATTGTGGAGTTGGGCATGGCTTGACCCTCTCCCCAATGCTGTTTAATATCGATATGAGGCCATCAGGGGATTGGAGCATCATGCCATCAGTATGCTGATGACCCCCAGCCCTACATTTCCTATTTTCCAACGACAGGGGGTGCCGTTCTGTCCCTCCAGCGCTCTTTGGAGTCTGTACAGCAATGGATGCAGGAAAATGGGCTGAGGCTGAACCCGGACAAGATAGGTCCTGAGGGTGGGTGCATCCTCCAACAGTGGTTTGGGAAACTCCCTCTCTTTGGGGGTGGGTGACTCTCACTGCGAAGAGTGAGGTTCACAGCTTGGGGATACATCTGGACCCAGCGCTCACCATGGAAACTCAGGTGGTGTCAGTGGTCCGCTCCGCATATTTCCATCTTTGGTGGATTGCCCAGCTGCATCCCTATCTTAATGTTGGGGCACTCACCACTTTGGTCCACACACTCGTAATCTCAAGATTAGACCACTGCAATGCACTCTACGTGGGGCTACCTTTGAGACTGATGCGGAAGCTACAAATGGTGCAAAATGTGCCAGCCAGACTTCTCAGTGGAGTGAGGAAATACCAACATATCACTCCCATTCTGGCCGCTTTGCACTGGTTGCCCGTTGGCTTCCGCGTCAACTTCAAAGTTCTAATTATTACATACAAAGCCCCAAATGGTTTAGGACCTTGATACTTGGCAGAGTGCCGCCTCCCACCTAGATCTACCTTCACCACTCGATCTAGTCAAGAGGGGCGATTGAGGGCTGAGGGAGGTCCGGAAAGAAAAAAACAAGACATCAGGTCTTCTTGGCAGTGGCCCCTTCTCTTTGGAACAAACTCCCCTCCGAGATCCATTTGGGATCCCTTGCTGGGCATCTTTAAAAAACAACTTAAGACCTGGTTATCCCTCCAGGCACTACTTTATTCTTTCATCCCATCTTGAGTTATTGTTAACATTGTATATTGTTGATAAATTATTATATATTAACTTTTTATTTTGTCTGTTGTGAGCCGCCCAGAGTAGACAATGTCTAGATGGGCAGCATGCATGCATGCATGCATGCATGCATGCATGCATGCATGCATGCATGCATGCATGCATGCATGCATGCATGCATGCATGCATGCATGCATGCATGCATGCATGCATGCATGCCAAACAAGGTTTGTATAACTTGCCATGGCCTGTGCAATCGAGATGCACTCTGGGGTTCCCTATCAATTAGCCATGACAAGTAAAACAAATTTCATATGAGCACCAATAGGATTTGAGCCAATGTTTCTCTCTCTCTCTCTCTCTCTCTCTCTCTCTCTCTCTCTCTCACACACACACACACACACACACACAGATCTGCCAGATCATTTTCAGGTTTTGAAATAAGATCAATACAGCTACTGAGAAAATTACAATTTTATATCTTCATCCATTACTCTTCCTATCAATCTAAACTACTGATATACTAATTAATTATGATAGTTAATAATCATGAATTCCTTTTACATATATTAGTACAAAAGATCGTCGTAAAGCGGATTTGTCATAACGGGGGGCAATCGTAAAGCAAGGCATCACTGTATGAGTTATTTAGTCTTATAACACTTATAATTATAGTGAGAGTAGCTAAATT